GGTTGTTATTGAAAGGTATTGCCTTACTCCTGCCAGTTTCTCAATTTTTTTAATGGTTGTTTTGTGTTTCTTTCTTTCATTTTTATTGTTTGTCTTTGCTGTTTGGTGTTTTTTTAAAAGTGATAAGATACAGTTTCTTTCTCTTTCTGATTTGCTTATCTGCTCCATTAGTGCATTATTCCTTCTTGTGTATTCATGATGATAGTTATCACTCTTTTTATTCCAGATATAGGACTCCTTTGAAGACTTTTTGTAGGACCAGTGTTTTTATGGTGAACTCCCGATGTTTTTGTTTGTCTGGCATAGACAATATTTCTCCTTTGTTTCTGAAGGATAGCTTTGCTGGGTATAGTATTCTTGGCTGACAGTTTTTTTCTTTGAGCACTTTGAGTGTATTCTCCTGGCCAGTATGGTTTCTGTTGAGATGTCTGTTATTAGTATGATGGGGATTCCCCGATAGGTGACTTGATGTTTTTCTCTCACTGTTTTTAGAATTCTCTCTTTGTCTTTAACTTTGATGATTTGACTATAATATGTCTTGGGGAGGACCTTTTTGGGTTGAATCCATTTGGGGATGTTTGAGCCTCCTGGAGCCGGAAACTTGTATCTTTCCCAATACATGGTAAGTTTCCAGTTATTATTTCATTGAGTAGGTTTTTGATAACTTTCCTTTCTCTTCCCCTTCTGGAATGCCCATGATATGGATTTTTGTACATTTAAGGTTGTTTAATAGATCTTATTGGCTTTCTTCATTTTTTACAATTCATTTTTCTTTTTCTTTTTGGTCCAACTGGGTTAATTCAAAAAGCCTGTCTTCAAGTTCAGAAATTCTTAATTTCATTTATTCTAGCCTGTTACTTAAGCTCTTTGTCGTATTTTTAATTTCATTGAATGAATTCTTCAGTTCCAGGATTTCTGCTTGGTTCTTTTTTAGAACATCTATCTCTTTTTTGGAATGTTCCTTCATTTCCTGGAATTTTTAATTTTATTTTATTATGGTTTCTATCTATATTTTCTTGCATTATATTAAGTTTCTTTGAGATTATTGTTTGAATTCCTTTTCAGGCATTTCATCAATTTTCTGTTGTTTGGGGTCTAACTGGAGAATTATTGTCTTCCTGTAGGGGTGTCATGTTTCCTTATATTTTCATTCTTCTTGTATCTAGATGTGGATATGTGGGCATCTGGAGGGGCAGTCACTTTTTCTAATTTTTGGAGTAGAGGTGTTCTAAATTGACAGATTGACCATTTTAGGGTTGGTTCTGGGTGAGTGCAGTAGTGCAGACTTTGTATGACTTTTTCAACTGTATTCAATCTTGGAGTTGTCTGTGGGTGCCTTTGTGGTCTATGTGTAGGGTCCTTGGTAGTTTTTGTTGGTGTCTGTGACAATGGGCAGGGTTGTTGTGGCTGTGGGTCCAGCATCTCAGGAAGCAGGTGTACACTGGTGTAGCAGATTTTGGAAGCTCTATAGAAGGCTGCTGGATCATCTGTGTAGCCTAGAGCAAGCCTACAAGGACACCACAGGACCCAGCAGCTCTGTAGAGGTCTTTTGTGAGAGGAAAAAGCTGCTACCCAAATATGCTGTTGGTCCAAGAGGAAGTGTAGCAGGGTCTGGCCCCTCTGTAGAGGAACATTGGGTCTGCTGTTGAGTCTGAAACAAGCCTGCAGGAGTGCATCCAGGTCCAGCAACTCTGTAGGGGCCTGCCTTGGAGAGTCAAAGCCCCTGTATGTGTCCAAATGTGAATACTCCAGCATATCCAAATGGTTTGTGTGTTGAGTAGCATTTTCTTAGTCTTTCTAAGAGCACCTCATGATATGGTGGTAGTACACTGTCCATTATACACAGAACACTGACGGTGGTACAAATAAAAGGGCTGAGAAAGGTGGAGAAATAGCAGGTGACAAAGGTATCAAGAACTGGACACACTGCAGTTTCACTTGCCTTCATGATTTCTGTTTATATTTACATTCTTGAGGCTGCACATAGAAGCAGGAGACAAGGTAGAAAACTATCTTTCTAAGAGGGATCGGTGCTTAGCTTTTTATTATAAGTTAGAAACACCAGGATTTCTCAGGTCTCTACTGTGATTGATGAAACTTTTTAGCATATAATAATTTAGTATATAATTTAGAATATAATAAAAGAGTTAGGAAAATGTGCAACAAATGAAAATTGGTGAGGATGGGATATAATTCAGAAGAAACCCAGAGAGAAGCCTTGAAAGGACCCTCGTTTCCTGTATCTTAGACAGCCTTGCTTTGCTGTCTGGCTGGGCTACACAGAGATACCATCCAGAAGGGTTCACCTGGGTCCCTTGGGTTTTGCTTACTCTGCATCTCATGGATTTCAGCTAACTATGTAATCATGGTTCTGTTAGGAAATTTGACACACATTGTTTAATACTCTTTGGCCAAGACTAACCTTTCATGATGAGGTACTCAATCATTCATGTATACACACATAATATTTTGTTTGCTTGGTTTTTGGAAGGAGAAGCGATAATGAATAGCCTACAACTGGTTATATTTCAAATAACTTCTTTTACTATTTGTCTTCTTGTATTCAACCAATTGTTTCCAAAATAATTTACTTCCTACCTTAATTTCTTCCCAAACCAATTTATATATACAGATATAACAACCCAAGTCAAAATTCAATAGTAAATACTATTTAATACTATAAATACAATAAGCTACTATTTTCCTTTCACAATTATCAACCATTTAGATTCTGCTTTTCTGATCAGCTTCTGTAGATGATAGACAATACTCCTGTAAGTCCATCTGGTCAGCAAAGGGTCTCTTCATTTTTCTCCAAAAAATTAATTTTGAGAGTATCAAGAGTTAGTACTTGAGTTTTAACAGACTCTGCTCTTACTTCTGCTCATGAAGTTACTGTACACATTTTAAAGGATGTGTGGTAAACATCAGGTCAGATATAAACTTGTAAAATATTCTGAGCCCTAGGTATTCTATCAGAAAGGAGGGTTTGGAAAATGATGCTTTGAACAGGTAGGAGGCTGTACTGAGAAGGCTGAGCTTCAGTATGGGTAATTTCTACATTAAAGGGGTTAAATTTGGGGGAGAAAATGAAAAGTGAAGCAACTCTCAAATTAATGGAAATGCAGGAAATAAAGAGCAGACAAACTGATATCCTAAATTTATGAGAAGGAGCAAAATGAGTTATTTGGTATGGATTACCAAACTTTAGAAAAAGTTGTAATAGAAAATTAGATAAAAGGTTGATTCAGGTAGATCATCAGAAAATGCATTTGGTAAGGGAATACATGGTGTGAAATTCATGAAACCTTCTCTGGTGGACACATTTTTACTTTACTTAGAATAAATTTTTTTGAGTGATGACCAAAGGAAGCCTTAATGATACCATTAGTTTAAAACTGGAGATTAGGACTTGGGACACGTTAAACTACCTCATATTTCCCAGCTTAGCCAATTGTAATTGCATAGGTCTCAGTTTCTGATTAAGATGTCTCTAAGATGATATTTCTTATTGGCTTTACCAAAACTATGTGATTATAGATTGATTTTCAAAAGAATATTAAATGGAAAATTTTGCATTTGTGAAATCTAGTTGTGATGTGTGTCCCTGGGTATGATTGTCCTGTGAGACTTGGTACAGTAGGGATCTTTTTGAAAAGGAAAGCTTTTAGTAGCATGTATGAACATGGAAAAACATACAGTACACCACTACATGGAGTTACAGAGTGAGCTCCTTGCAGGTTGACAACACACCTGAAAGGGCAGGACAGTCTGATCTGACTCTGAGCAAGGGCCTCTTTGCTCACATTTCTGCTCTGTCCCCCTTTAATAAACAGGAATGTGCTTCTGAGTGTTATTTGTCTTTCTCTTTATTACTGTCCTCAACCCCATTTTCTATTTGAGGCAAACCAATCGCTTGAATTAAAGAGTTATGGATCTTAAAGTATTATCTAAGAGAAATCTTAATAACAAAACCTAGCTTCTGAGAAACATGATAAAGAAAACGAGTTTTCACCTGTTTCTCACTTCAGTCTCAGGATATCCTCAGCTAAGCATAAAAAATACTAATCAAAGTTAATCAAAAGGCCAGTATGATGTGTTAAGTTTAACAGGACAAAAGCATCCCAAGCCATTTCTGTAAGTACAGATGTGGAGGCCTGCTCTTGCTCCTTATGACCTCCAGGTGGTGCTGTTTACCTAGACATAGAAAGCAGGAGCCCAGCCCAACTAACTTCCTTTGCTTAGGTTTGTAGCTGGGCTTTTATGTTTTCAAAATATTTTATTTCTACAGATGTGTTCTTTTAAATGATCGATAAAATTTTATAACCACTATTTGAAAAATTGCAAGAGTATTGTGATTTGTGTTTCCTAGTCAAGAATATTTTCTTTATGTCTGGACACACCCAGAGTCAGGGGTTATGTTTGTTCATTGGTTCCACTTCTACTCTTCCTTGCTTCTGAGCACCCAGGCTTGGCCACAGACATTGGGCTGTCAGTGCAACTCATCCGAGTACCTTTAAACACTTATATAATTTAAAAATATATTTCTAGTGCAGCTGAGGCAACTCAGCTCCATGGGCTTCTGAGTCAAGAACACCATCTTTACAGGAATGCTTTTATCCCCCAAAGTCAGTGAGTGTTCCTGACCTGACCTGATTTTTTGGCAAGGGATGCTTGTCAAATGCCAGAAATGTTTTGATGTTTTGAGGTCAGTCACTTGTACAGAGACACCCTGCAATTCAATCCAAATTCCTCAGAAAAGTGTCCCTAAGAAAAAACTGAGAGGTGGTCATTGACAATTTCTTTCCCATTTTGATAGATTTCAGGGCCAGAAATAGTGGAAATTCCATCACAGCAAAGATGGCACTGGGATGGGAGTGCAGTGGTATCAATTTCATTATGGGTGAAGTTTGTAATTTTTAAGATTGCTTTTTTAAAAAAACAACCAATTAATATGCCTTTCTTGTCTTTTTTTTTTCCCTTTTCTTTTCTCTCACAAGGGGTTTGTAAACAAGCTGGACGAATTCATTCAGTGGCTAAATGAAGCCATGGAAACCACTGAGAATTGGACTCCCCCCAAAGCAGAGACGGATGGCCTTAAACTGTACCTGGAGACACACTTGGTAGGCAAAATTGTTGCTGTCAGTAATCAAAGGATTCTAATGTACTGCTTGCTTGTGGGGAATATCAATTTTATTTATCAAAAGTCATTATATGCTAATGAGTGGCTAAATGAAGCCATGGAAACCACTGAGAATTGGACTCCCCCCAAAGCAGAGACGGATGGCCTTAAACTGTACCTGGAGACACACTTGGTAGGCAAAATTGTTGCTGTCAGTAATCAAAGGATTCTAATGTACTGCTTGCTTGTGGGGAATATCAATTTTATTTATCAAAAGTCATTATATGCTAATGAAACCAAGTTTTAATGGGGTAAACTACAGAAGCTGAAAATTTACAGGCATTTCCAGTAATAGTATGAAATCTAAATCTTCCATATTTTAAGCTACTTTTTCTTTTTTTTATGAAACCAAGTTTTAATGGGGTAAACTACAGAAGCTGAAAATTTACAGGCATTTCCAGTAATACTATGAAATCTAAATCTTCCATATTTTAAGCTACTTTTTCTTTTTTTTATGTTACTTTTTCAAAGCTTTTTCCAGAAGGGTAATTATTTTTTAAATATTTTAGAAAATTTTACTCGAGCCTGGCTCTCTAAAGTGACCATTGAAGGTTTTCCTCTTCTTAAAAAAAGAAAAGAAAAGAGATCATTTTGATGACCATTCTAAGCTTCCTAGAATTCTTGTAAAATTAATGAACCGCTCATTATCAAGAGGGTCTACTTTATCTGTTCTACACTGGGTTATTTTAATAAAATATTTAAAACAATGATCTCCATCATTTTTGCTGCTATGTGGGTTTTTCAGCATATAATTAATACAACTGTCATGACGCTCATCCCTGTGCACGGGAAAAACCATGGAGGGGAAGTGAAAAACACTTGGATAAATATGCCTCTGAGTATGTTAGAAGCAGAATTATAGACTAGGGGACATTTGATGAACCTCATGTGGTTTTTACTGAATGCTTCAAATGGCCGATATCAATTATGAAGGGGTGGAACCCAAGTCGTGGAGTGTGATAAAGCATGAAGAAAAAGCACATTGTCATAGGAAATGAAAATTCAAGCTTTAAGTACCTCATCTTTATTCCTTTCACTGATAGCATAAAATTGACAAAGGCAATGAATGCGAGTCCTTGGGTACCCAACTGTGGTGTTGGTTTTCTGCCCCTTTCACACACTCAGAATTTGGATTGAGCAAACATCCTGTGGGGGTCCGACTTGTAGGCAAGTTCACAGGTTCCAGAACTGCTCGCTGTGATGTTAAGTAAGAAAGGGAAGGGAGAAACTGAGAGGGAGAAAAGAGAGGAGAGAGAGAGAGAGAAAATGTTTTAGGTTATTTGGTGTTTGTGTTTTGCAGCATGCAAGAAAAACAGCCTCAAAATTCTGCATGCAAAAAGCCTTGTGGATGACAAAGAATGACAAAACTGTGTGGTACAGGATGAGTGTGTTGCTTCCCTTTTTAGAGACCTGGGTTGATGGTATATAAAATGCCAGTGACCCTACCCACCTCTCTTGTACATGGGTATCTAAATACTGCCCTCAGTGCTCAATTCCCTGTTGAGTAGAGTTTTATTTTTTTTTTTAAAGAGGGCATTTCATAACAGCAAGATAAAGATATTCAGTGCTTTATAATGTAAATTGTATTAATTAGAATGTCAACTCTTCACTGGCATTGTCCTGACAGAAATTCTAATCTGTGTTTAAACAGGAGTATATGAACTTTATTTCACATTAAGTGTGCTGTCTTAATTTCTCTTGATTTAATATTTTATGGAAAACACTCATTTAGTTTTTGAGGTCCCAGAGGGCATGGGGGCATAAAGAGCACTTTAACTCTAGGTTGTTTATCAAAAGCCAGGCCAGGAAGAGTGTGCACAAAAGTCTCTTTCCTCTTTGGGTCTCGCATGATATGGCTCCCATGTAACCAATCCAGTATTACAGGGTCCTTACTTGGCGTCCTTGTGGTTTATCAAAAGCCAGGCCAGGAAGAGTGTGCACAAAAGTCTCTTTCCTCTTTGGGTCTCGCGTGATATGGCTCCCATGTAACCAATCCAGTATTACAGGGTCCTTACTTGGCGTCCTTGTATTGGCCTCTAACTCAGTCTAGCCCAGTGCTGTTCACGAGGGCTTCCTGTGATGGTGGAGTGTTCTACAGTACACTGTCTTGTATGGGGACCACTAACTATATGAATCTACTGTGCACTTGAAAGGTGGCCACTGCAAGTGAGGAAATGCATTTTTAGTTTTAATTAACTTGCATTTAAATTCCAATGGCCATGTGTGGCTGATGACTACTGTATTCTATCCAGCTGTGTAAATTGCAGACTCTTTACAGGTGACCATAATGAATTGCAGGTATCCATGCCTGCCTCATAATGACATTCTCATCCAAAATGTGGAAATCATTATACACTTTGTTGTGGATCTCCAGTGTAGGGATCCATAGCAAAGGGCCCTTCTTAAGATATTTATCTCTTAAAGAATAGCCTTGTTTCTGTCTAATGATCAGCACTTTCTTGGATGAGTTTTCTCCACTATCATGCCTGATTGTATTGGTTGGAATAGAAATAACATATGAACATCTTTATTTCTGCTTTGCAAATAGTGAGGGACTGTGATCTTTACACCTGTTCACTGGATGTTAAATCACAATCTCAAATTTCACTTCTGAAATTATGAATAATAATGTCTGGCAGTTACAGAAGACCTAGTGTACATGGATTGCCACTGAGTGACACTTAAGGGTAATCATTAAGAGTCACTGTTACACTGCATGCTGTGTCTGTTACTCTAGATACAGCCTGTAGCTCAAACATCTTTCAAACAAATTCTAAGTTTCTCTGTCTCCATCAGTGTCTGCATTGTCCTCTTGATCAATATTGTCATTTGTATTTTTTATTGTATTTTTTACTGTCATGCTGAGTTACTATTAAGTTATTCTTCTCAAAATAAGGCAAAAAAATCCACCTTCCCACAAAAGACAACATATGAGTATTTCTAGAGATTTACATTACTTAGTTCACCCTGCATAAATCATTACTGCTCTCTAATGAGTGAGCAAGTGGTGTTTGCAAGATTATCCAGTCGTAGAGACAGCAACATGAATTTCTTTAAACATTGCTATAGATTCTATAATTTAACATTAAATAGATGCGTAAGACTCCAGAGTGAGGGTCAGAGTCTCCCCAGTTTAATAATGTGTTAGCGTCCTCCAATACTTATTATAAAGAAAAACAAACATAAAAACAATAACAAAAGTTGTACATTCTGATTTTGATTGTTAATTCAATTATTTTCCACGTCACCAAGGGTTTTTACCAACACAAATCAATTAAAGCTTTACAATACCTTTACGAGAGATGAGAAAAAGTTTTATTTCAACTGTAAGAAATACTGTGAAATTGCAATGATACATCAATGATTTTCCATGATAATTAATCATCGGCTTGCAACCTGGCTGCTCCTTTCAAAAATACAATTCCTATCTTCCTAGAAAATGACATTTTCAGGAAAATGTCATTCTGGGAAGGTATTTTGCAAGTGTTGAGCATGTTGAACGTTCCCACTTTGAAAACTACTTTTAAAACAGCCTTGTATAGATGTGTTCTTGGACAGACTTCCTTCACTCTCTTCCTTCCCTCACCTCTGTCCTCTTCCCACCACTTTTTTTTTTAAACCACTCTATTGAGTTATAACTGAGATACGATAAATTGCATATTTTAAAATATACAATTTTATAAGTTTTGACAATCTGACAAATATAGACACCCATGAAACCATCACCTCAATCAAGATAGTGAACACATCCGTCACCCCAAATCTTCTCCATGACACTTTGTAATTCCTCCTGCCCCTTCCCAGCTGCTGCTCTATCCCTGAGCAATCCCTGATCTGCTTTGTCACTGTGAGATTAGTTGGCACTTTTTAGAATTTTACATAAATAGAATCAAGCAATATGCACTTCTTTTCAGTCTGGTTTCTTTACTTGCATACTTATTCTGATATATGTTATGTTGTTAAATGTATTGGTTGGTTGTTCCCTTTGCTGAGTACTGTTCCATTGTAGGGATACACCACAATTTGTTTATCCTTTCACATGTTGATGGACATTTAAGCTGTTTCCCCACCACCTTTTTTATTGGCTAAAGAAGCAAAAGTCACTTTTGAATAGAAAATCTATATTGGACTAGAAACATAATAAATAGAAGCATAGTAAATAACTATCAGGCTGGCCAGTTAGCTCAGTTGGTTAGAGTGCAGCCTTATAACAACAAGGCCACGGGTTTGGATACCCACACTGGCCAGCCACCAAAAAAAAAAAAAAAAAAAAAAGGATTTAAAAAAAATAATAATAACTATCATAAAAAAAGAAGAGTTCTTAGCTAAATATTTATTTTTTTCCTTTAGGAGAATTTACAGTACCTTCAGAGTTAGTGTGCTTAAGAGTAAAGCAGCAAAGCAGGCTAGCAACTTCCCCCTCTAGAGATTTTATTTCATGTCCATTTACTCCTGAAATGATAACTCTAATCTCCCAAGTCATTTTCATGCATGCCTAACTCACCAAATGCAATCACTCATAGGAAAACAAATCAGAAGTTCTTTTATCCATAGCCAATCGGAATAACCAGCAGGAGAAAGTGAAGTCAAACCGACACCAGACAGCTTTGCACGATTTAAGAAAAAGAACTAACCACCAGGCCCATCTTAAACTTGGGAAGTAAATTTGCATGGGCAGCATCTTGTTATGTTGGACAAACATTAACCAACCATGTAGAAATAGACTTGGAGAAACAACATTCTTAATTCAATTTGATAAATGAGAAATGGAGGGGGGAATGGGGACTGTGAATTCAAGTTCAGCTATATCGAGCAGCTGTGAGTGCCAGGCAATTATTTAGGTGCGGGGAATATATGATAAATGAGCTTGGTTTCTTTCTTTCAGAGATTGTCAGTCTAAGGGAGACAACCATAGATTACTCATAGTCATCTACAGACCCATAAATGACTCATATAGTGTTGAACAGTAAACTGCTTGTAGGATAAGCAAAGTACTCTTAGGAGCACAGACAAAAATTTTATTGGTTCTTCCTGGGGGTAGGGAAGATTTAAAGAGGTAATTTGATGCAGACCTCACAGGTTATATATAATTTTGTTGGATGTAGAGAGGAGGAGGGGAGATGGGAGGAAATT